GGCTTAGTGGAAAACATAAAAATTTAGAAATGCTCTTTGCTTAAAGACATAGAGTAAAGCTTTCCATGTAAATGTCAACAATGACATGTGCAGTTACTAATTTGGCTCTCTCTGGTGGCCAGAGGAAAAAAAACTGTTGCTCTGAACAAAATTTGCTGAAATCAAATAACAGGATTTTATGTCTCATTAAGATGCATAATTTGAAACAATTGTCATGTTTTTATTGTTTTTATTCTTAGACAGGAATAATTACATTGTAAGAGCTAACATAAGCAGAATCAAGCCAAATGCCATACATTTCCTCAACTGATTATTATCAATATACAAATCGATTTTGGTCACAGTCAGAGCATAAGTGACAGATTTGTGGTCCCTTGTTTCCGAATAGGCTGGACCGAACTGATTATTGTATAACTTGCAATAACATTGTGCTTAAAAGCCAAGATTTTTAAACAATTATTGATCTTGAGACTTCAATGTTTTTTTTTGAAACAAAGGTTTAAGACAATGCAAGAAAAACAATAGTTTTTTAAAAGACTTGTATTTGCAAAATTGTCAGGCACGGTGGAAAGCAAAATGGTCTTGACCTAAAGACATACAGTAAAGGTTTCCACTAATTGTATATTTTTTATTAATTAGTTCAGCATTGAGATTTGCAGTTGCTGATTTCTGCTCCCTCTGGTGGCCAGAGAAATATAAAACACCTCTTGCGCTATCATTTTTGGTCACAATCGGAGCATAAGTGACAGATTTGTGGTCCCTCGTTTCCGAATAGGCTGGATCGCACTGACCGATACATAACTTGCAATAATATTGTGCTTAAAATCCAAGATTTTTAAATAATTATTTATCTTGAGACTTTGACAGTTGTTTAGAGACCAAGTTTGAGACGTTGCAAAAACATTTCAGCAAACAGTATGAAAACATCAGTTTTCAAACTCTGATGATTTACAGAAAAACAATAAAGTTTTTTAAAAGACTTGTATATGCAAAATTGCTTGGCTCAGTGGAAAGCAAAAAGTACAGAAATTGTCTTGACCTAAAGACATAGAGTAAAGCTTTACACTAATAGTATATTTTTTATTAATTAGTTGAACATTGACATTTGCAGTTACTGATTTGGCTCCCTCTGGTGGCCAGAGAAATATAAAACACCTCTTGTGCTCTGATTAAAATTTGCTGAAATCAAATTATATGATTTCCTGTACAGTTAAGCAACCTACACATATTTGCAAAGTGTTAATTCTTATTAAGATGCAGAATTTGAAACAATAGTCATGTCTTTATTTTAATCTTAGACAGGGATAATTACGTTTTAGATTGTTGGCAGTACATTGAGCATTGTAAAAGCCAACTTAAGCCAATTCAAGCCAAATCTCATAGGTTTCCTCAGCTTATTATTTGCAATGTATATATCATTTTTGGTCACAATCAGAGCATAAGTGACAGATTTGTGGTCCCTTGTTTCTGAATCGGCTGGACCAAACTGATTGATCCATAACTTGCAATAACATTGTGCTTAAAAGCCAAGGTTTTTTAAATAATTATTGATCTTGAGACTTTGACGGTTGTTTAGAGACCAAGTTTGAGACATTGCAAAAACATTTCAGCAAGCAGTATGAAAACATCAGTTTTCAAACTCCGATGATTTACAGAAAAACAATAGAGTTTTTTAAAAGACTTTTATAAGCAAAATTGCTTGGCTCAGTGGAATACATAAAATTCAGAAAGTTCCTTTGCCGCAAGATAGATGTTGCAAAGACTATGACCATAAGTATGTTTGAAGTCATAATTTGCATTTAATGCTGATGCTCCCTCTGCTGGGCAGAAAAGATATTACCCTTATTAATTATGTGGCCATCCTGGCTTTAACTCAAATTTCCACATTTCCTGTGCAATTTTGGAACAGACATATAATTGCAATGTTTTAGACATTAATAAGATGTGTAATTTAAAACCATTATCTTTTCTTTATTTCATTCATAGAAGAATATAATGACATATTAATAATTACGCACTAGATTAAGTATTGTAGGGGCTTATGATAATCAATTTAAATGAAACTTTGCATGTTTGATCAGAAAACATTAGTGTACAAGTTTACCAAGATTTATCACAATCACCTAAAAACTAAAGAATCTATAGCCCCCTAAGTCAGAAAAGTCCAGGCCGAACAGATTCATTGGTGTCTCATGGCTGTTCTTTGCAATAAAGTCAAGGTTTTTTTTTTGATAATTATTTACCTACGGACTCCACGGATTGTTTTAAGACCAAAATTGAAACAGTTGTTTCAAAATCCACAGACTTGTTCGAAAAGCTCAATTTTCAAACATTGATGAAAAAGACTTGTATTGGATAAAAAAAGACTTGTATTGGATAAAATATCATGCTCAGTGTAAGCAATGATATTTATTGTTTTATTTTGATATGATAAAATGTATAGGACTTATTCTCGTTTATACTCTATAGTGCCACCTCATGGCCAATTGAGGTCAAACTTTATAGGCTATTAGAGATTGCCTATGGGGACACATGATATAATTTTTGTGATGATTGGCCAATGCTAAGCCCTCCAAATGCCTGTTGAAAGCTTATTGGCCAATGGCGGCCATATTTGTCAAATGATTCAGTTGTCCTTAATAGATCTTATATTAGGCCATGGATACAGCACGCAAAGTTTCAGCTCAATTGGCCAAGCGGTTGCTGAGAAACATACACTGCTCAAAAAAATAAAGGGAACACTCAAATAACACATCCTAGATCTGAATGAATGAAATATTCTCATTGAATACTTTGTTCTGTACAAAGTTGAATGTGCTGACAACAAAATCACACAAAAATCATCAATGGAAATCAAATTTATTAACCAATGGAGGCCTGGATTTGGAGTCACACACAAAATTAAAGTGGAAAAACACACTACAGGCTGATCCAACTTTGATGTGATGTCCTTAAAACAAGTCAAAATGAGGCTCAGTATTGTGTGTGGCCTCCACGTGCCTGTATGACCTCCCTACAACGCCTGGGCATGCTCCTGATGAGGTGGCAGATGGTCTCCTGAGGGATCTCCTCTCAGACCTGGACTAAAGCATCCGCCAACTCCTGGACAGTCTGTGGTGCAACGTGACGTTGGTGGATGGAGCGAGACATGATGTCCTAGATGTGCTCAATCGGATTCAGGTCTGGGGAACGGACGGGCCAGTCCATAGCTTCAATGCCTTCATCTTGCAGGAACTGCTGACACACTCCAGCCGCATGAGGTCTAGTATGGTCCTGCATTAGGAGGAACCCAGGGCCAACCGCACCAGCATATGGTCTCACAAGGGGTCTGAGGATCTCATCTCGGTACCTAATGGCAGTCAGGCTACCTCTGGCGAGCACATGGAGGGCTGTGCGGCCCTCCAAAGAAATGCCACCCCACACCATTACTGACCCACTGCCAAACCGGTCATGCTGAAGGATGTTGCAGGCAGCAGATCGCTCTCCACGGCGTCTCCAGACTCTGTCACGTCTGTCACATGTGCTCAGTGTGAACCTGCTTTCATCTGTGAAGAGCACAGGGCGCCAGTGGCGAATTTGCCAATCCTGGTGTTCTCTGGCAAATGCCAAGCGTCCTGCACGGTGTTGGGCTGTGAGCACAACCCCCATCTGTGGACGTCGGGCCCTCATACCATCCTCATGGAGTCGGTTTCTAACCGTTTGTGCAGACGCATGCACATTTGTGGCCTGCTGGAGATCATTTTGCAGGGCTCTGGCAGTGCTCCTCCTGTTCCTCCTTGCACAAAGGCGGAGGTAGCGGTCCTGCTGCTGGGTTGTTGCCCACCTACGGCCTCCTCCACGTCTCCTGGTGTACTGGCCTGTCTCCTGGTAGCGCCTCCAGGCTCTGGACACTACGCTGACAGACACAGCAAACCTTCTTGCCACAGCTCGCATTGATGTGCCATCCTGGATGAGCTGCACTACCTGAGCCACTTGTGTGGGTTGTAGAGTCCGTCTCATGCTACCACGAGTGTGAAAGCACCACCAACATTCAAAAGTGACCAAAACATCAGCCAGAAAGCATAGGTACTGAGAAGTGGTCTGTGGTCCCCACCTGCAGAACCACTCCTTTATTGAGTGTGTCTTGCTAATCGCCAATGATTTCCACCTGTTGTCTATTCCATTTGCACAACAGCATGTGAAATTGATTGTCAATCAGTGTTGCTTCCTAAGTGGACAGTTTGATTTCACAGAAGTTTGATTTACTTGGAGTTATATTATGTTGTTTAAGTGTTCCCTTTATTTTTTTGAGCAGTGTATTTTTGGCTGTTATAGCGCCCACTATTGAGGAATCAGTATCAACCTTGGTGGGCTTCCACAGAATCATGTGGGGTACAGGACTGATAAGTTTGATGTGAATTGGCCAAATCATTCTCGATCTGTAGCCATTTATGTGAATTAAGCCAAACCCAGAGGGGATTAATTGGCATGTGCCAGCCATACTGTTTACAAATATTTAACATTTTTTGATAATTCTTGACCTCCAGACTCCCCTGAACATTTTGAGACCAATATTGTGTTGATATCGTGAAAAACCTCAGACTAGTAGAAAAATGTAGGTGTCACATATTTTGCCAATTATGGTGATAAATTTTGGGGCGGAGCTAAAAACTTGCAGTGAGGCGTTGATGTAGAATAAAGCAAGAATTATGTAGAAGCAAGAATTTTGAGGGTAGCCCCCATGGTTCAGGAGATATGGGCAAAAACGTAAAATGTTGCTCTGTAGCGCCACCATCAGGCCAACTGGGGTCATTTCAGTTGCCTGAGTAGTGGGGGGGAATCTACACCTAACCTCTAAGTTTGGTCTTTGGATGACTTACGGTGTCTTCTCCACAAACCGTTTTAGGGCAGAAAAAGAATAAGAAGAAGAATATAGCAGTAGTTATTAACCCCGGTAAATGTCAAAATGATTTATGAGTTATGCGTGACGTCACATGTGAAATATGTAAAGTATTTTCCCAGGGGGTTGATGTGTATAAAAATGTAAACATCAGTGGTATGACATCACATGTGAAATATGTAAAAAAATTTCCCAGGGGTTGGTGTGTGTAAAATGTAAACATCAGTTATATGACGTCACATGTCAAAATTGCAACTAATTTTCCCAGGAGGTGATGTGTGTAAAAACTGTGAACAACTATTGTAGGTTGTAAAGAATTTTTTTTTTTTCCGGTGATAAAATGTTGAATTTTCCCCAGGGTGCGTGTTGGGAGGGGTGGCAAGCGTGAGCAAAATTTTCCCCTCTTGAGAAGTGTTAATGAAAAAAATGATGTAAAAGTTTAAAGAGGTGTGAAAAAATAAGAGTAAGGATGAAAAATAATTAAAAAAAAAGATGCGAGGACTTACCGTCGGTGGGGTGGGGTGGGTTGGGGTGGGGTGGGGTGGTTGGGTCGGGGTATGGTGTGTGTGTGTGTGTGTGTGTGAATGCTTTTTGATAACTACCCGAGGTTTGCCCGGTATGATGCGTGGGAATAATTTTCAAAAGATTCCCAGGATGTGTTTTGGAAAAAAAGATGTGTTTTGGAAAAAAAGATTCCCATGATGTAATGGTATGACGTAGTTGTTGTTGTTGTGTTTTTGAGTGACAGCAGCAAGTGGGGGGCCCCCGTTCTGCTAAGCGTGACTAATAATTGAACAGGTGTCGTGTTGTTTTTCTCCTCACAATACTATAAAAACTGGCCGAGAGCCATAATAGTTGTAAAAGTTACTCATTATGGACCAGTTTGCGAGCAATTACAATACCCCTGCTGGGGGTGAAGCTGAGGTGATAAACTTATCGACCGACTCCGAGTACGAGTCTGACACCGAATCTGCGAGAAGTACGATGGTTCTCACAGATTCTGACGAATCATCCACAGTGGAGGATGGTGTTGTTCGCAACACCCCAGAAAAGGACGCGCCAAACTCAGCTGTCGTTCAGGAAAGACCCAGCGTGATCGTGTGGCGATCTTTCAGCGGCACAGGTTCAGACGAATCACTCAGAGCGGGGGCGGTGGATGAAGTTATTTGTATCACCCCTGAAAAAGATGCGACAAACTCGGCGGCGGTTCAAGAAAGACCCAGCGTGATCGTTTGCAACGTCACCAACTGTGTCAACTGTATCACCGCCACGGTCCGCTCGCCGCCGCGACCGGACCAGGAGGAGGAGGAGGAGGAGGAGGAGGAGGAAGAGATTCCGGGGGTTTGTCAGCCACGACCCGGCGACCGTGTTTGCAACACGCCGAAAGTCGGTGCCAACACAGGTGACGGACCGTCGATCGCAGATTACAGCCCGGTCTCCGATTACGAGGAGCGAGTTGATGAGTCGAGAGTTTCTGCTAATTTGACATCAACGATGAGATCTGTTTTATTTAACGACAACGCTGTATCTTTTTTTGATGACAGGGTACAGAACGACGAATTTGAACATGTTGCGACAAACGGGGGTGTAAACTTTCTAAACGTCGAAGATCCGGTCGATTTGTTTGAACTTGAAACTTTAGTGGACAGAACTTTTCGCTGCGACTTCATTCAATAGAATGAGTGTCGCTCAGCAAAACGATACAGGAATATTGACCGAAGCTGAGGATGGATTACCGTCGCAGAACGAATGGGATTTATCGGATTTTACCTCACACGCTGACGATGGAGCGAATCAGGATGTTTTTATGCAGCATATCAACGCATCGACTTTGGGGGAGTTACCACCGCAGAGCGAAGGACACGCGTCACACGTTAACGATGGAGCAAATGGGAGCGCTTCGACGGGGTGTGAACGGAGGTGTCAGGCGGCAGACCCTGAAATTCACGCAGAAGACCTTTCGATCAGCAGGCCCTCCACAAGCGGGGAGGGGGATGGGGTGAGGGAGAGACACAGACCCATGTTTAATCACAGTGAATACAATTATCAAATAAATTTATCGGATCTAGGTACAGGTTTGAATTTAATTCAGTTCACGCAGGCTCTACACAATCGAGTAGATCGTTTGTTACAAAAAGCCAGACAGGTTTCACAAGGGGATGACATTATACAAATAAGTTTGAAAGGTGAAAGCCTGTTCTCGCCCGTGATATTTCAAACTAACGCAGAGGAGCTGAACGCTGAACATTTTCTGAATTACGTAGAATCGGTTGTTCAATCAAATAAAAAACTGTTAAGCGACAAATCACTCACACTGAACGTTCAGATAGTGAGAAACTTTCGAGGCGGAATAGGTTATTCCAGAATGATAAACAGTATTTTGTCATCGGAAATACTTACAAAAAAAAGTAGGCATTTAGTTATATTTTTAAACGCTTACCAAAATTCCTGCTTCGCGTGTAGTTTGACGGGTGTGATGAAACCGGGTTTGACCCAAAGCGAATGTCAAAAGGAAGCTCTATTACTTTTAAATCGGTTAAATATTTCACCGGAACATTTAGTTTCATTTAACGACGTGACTTTATTCGAACAGTTTTTAAACGTCAAAATTGTGATTCTTTACAGAGTAAACAACGGTGGTTCGTTTCAGACTTTCCAAACGCATGAACAGCCGCACGAGAAGACCTATTACCTTCTTTTGCTAAACAATCATTATTATGGTATTTTGAATTTAAAAGGTTTTCTCGGTGTTAAACATGTGTGCAAAGCCTGTCACAAGCCGTATTCGCACAGTAAATACACGCACCGCTGCGATTTTATGTGTAACGTGTGTCAGAGGGTTTGTTTAAAAACCGAGAACGTTTTGAGGTGCGCGGAGTGTCTTAGATTCTGCAGGTCACAGGATTGTTTTTCACACCACAAACGAATGGGTTATTGTGAGAAAGTTAAATGGTGTGAAAACTGTAATCGCTCATACATAGTGACGACCAAACACCACAAGTGCCCCCGGACCACGTGTAACATTTGCAAGTCGCCTTTAGCCGAGAAAGAGGATCCCTCTAAACACCAATGTTTTATCAGACCCACTTTGCCGAGGCCGCAAACGCAGAAATATGTATTTTTTGACATAGAGTCCCGTTTTACGGAACAAAACGAGCACGCGGCGATACATATACACACCGTCACGTACGAAGGTCGACATTGGTGCGCCACGGGTCACGACTGCATAGCAAAGTTTTTTAAACGTTTTAGAAAAAACAGATACAAAAAGTATACATTTATCGCTCACAACAGCAGCGGTTATGATTCGTATTTTATGCTAAATTACCTAACAAAGAACAAAATAGTACCGCATCTCATTACTCAAGGAAATAAAATCTTATGCATGACCGATATTTTTTTCAAACAACGTTACATAGACAGCCTGAGCTTCTTCCAAACAAAACTGGCTGATTTACCCAAAAGTTTTGGTTTTGAAAATGAGAAAAAGGGTTATTTTCCTCATTATTTTCACACAAAAGATAATTTGTGTTATGTTGGACGTTACCCGAAACCTGATATGTACGGATATTCACAAATGGCTCCTACGGAGCGGACTGAATTTATAAACTGGTACGATTCTGTAAAAAACGGTGTGTTTAATTTAAAAAAGGAGCTGTACCAATATTGTAAGAATGATGTGGTTATTTTAAGAAAAGCCTGCATGATATTCAGAGAACGAGTGCTGTCCATGGCCAACGTGGACCCGTTTCAACACGTCACCATAGCCAGCGCCGCGCTAAGCCTGTACAGAACAAACTTTTTGCCGGATAGGTGTCTGGCCTTAACGGGGCCGCGTTATTTTATGAAAAAAAAACAAAAGTTTTTCAAATTGCAGTATACAGTGGTTAGAGTTTGTCAAGTTCAAGGAGAACGTTTTTGTCCAACACGCGCTGAACATGGGGGAAAAGAAAGTCGGATCTATTTTTGTGGACGGGTTTTGCGAACGGACCAACACCGTGTTTGAATTTCTGGGCTGCGTGTTTCACGGGTGTCCGAAATGTTCGGACCCTAACGCCGAAAACCCTCTGACCGGTGAGTTACAAGGTGAACTTTATCAACGCACCACGGAACGGTTGGAATATCTGAAATCCTTGGGATATAACGTTAGGATCATGTGGGAACATACGTGGATTAAGCTGAAAGCGGACAACGGGGAGCTAAAGACATTTTTGAAAAGCTGTGATTTTCCGGAGAAAATGAACCCGAGAGACGCTCTGTACGGCGGACGGACCAACGCCATCCGTTTGCTGCACAAAACCGCCCCGGACGAAAAAATCCATTACTTGGACTTTACGAGTTTATATCCTTACTGCAACAAGCGTATGGCCTACCCCATTGGACACCCGACGGTGATTGTGACCGATTTTAAAGACATCAGAGAGTACTTTGGCATCGCCAGAGTCAAAATCTACCCCCCAAGAAATCTTTTCCACCCCGTGTTGCCTTTTAGATGTGATAAACTAAACAAATTAGTTTTCACCCTTTGTAGAACCTGCGCGGAGGAGGAGGCCGGGGACGCGTGTCGACATTCGGAAGAAGAGAGAGCCATAACGGGTGTTTATTGCACGGAGGAGATCAAAAGGAGTTTAAACCACGGCTACACGATCGGGAAAGTGTACGAGGTTTGGCACTTTGAGCAAAACTCCTGCGATTTGTTCGCAGGATACATCGATTTACATTTGAAAAACAAAGTGGAAGCCAGCGGCTTTCCTCCGGGCGTGAACACCGACGCTGAGAAAAATGACTATTTGTTTAAGTTTAAGCGACACGAAGGTGTCCAACTGGATGTGTCAAAAATCGGATTTAACCCCGCTCAGAGGAGTATTAGCAAACTGTTTCTGAACGCTCTCTGGGGGAAATTTGGACAGAGAACGAATCGGATGAACACGGAATTAATAACGGAGCCTCGTGACTTTTTAGAACTGATGTTTTGCAAACATAAACGCATTTCTTATTTTACTTTTATTAACGACGACGTTGCTTTGGTCCAGTGGCAGTACAAAAAGGATTATTTGCAAAAACCCGTGGTTTCTAATGTATTTGTGGCCGTTTTCACGGCGGCTTACGGACGATTAAAACTGTACGATGTGCTAGAAAAATTACAAAAGCGGGTGTTATATTTTGATACGGATTCTGTCATGTTCACGGCGAAACCGGGGGAATACACTCCTCCCACGGGGTTTTATCTCGGTGATCTGTCGAATCAGCTAACGGATGGAGATTATATCAAGGAATTTGTGTCTACAGGACCCAAAAGCTATTGTTTCGTCACAGCCGGCGGGCAAGTTTCTCTGAAGGTCAAGGGGTTTACAGTTAATCCGGAGACTTCTAAAATTCTTCATTTTGATTCCTTTAAACGGCTGGTGGAGCAGCACGTTAGCACGGGGCGATCCGACACTCTGCTGACCGAGACCCTTTTAATTCAAAGAAACAAAAAACGCTTGGCTCTGCGGAACGTCAGAGCTCTGAAAAAATTTTCATTAATTTATAACAAGAGAATACTGAGACCCGACTTTACCACGGTGCCTTATGGATTTTGACGTCAGATTAAAGTTGCCGTTTACATGTATTTTGGCCGGACCGAGCCGTTCGGGGAAGACGTGCTTTGTGCAAAGACTTTTGGAATGTTCTTCCAAAACTCTCAACGGGAAGCCTGGCAAAATCATGTGGTTTTATGAAAACTGGCAAAAAAGTTACGACGAACTACTGGAGCTTATGCCCGACGTGGTTTTCGTTCAAGGAGCACCGAGCAGCCTGCACGACGATGAACTACAAGGACGACGATCAGGAGAAGGAGGAGGAGGAGGAGGAGGAGGGGGAGGGGGTCCTCTGATCGTTCTGGACGATATGATGGACGTTATGAGTCAGTCGGTAGAATTAGAAAGGGCTTTCACGAGATATTCTCACCACAATAATCTTAGCGTGATATATTTGACGCAGAATCTATTTTATAAAGGAAAGAATTCTCGCACACTTAGTTTAAACGCCTCCTACCTGATACTCTTTAAAAACCCTAGAGATAAGTTACACATTTCAATTTTGGCTAAACAAATGTATCGAAATATTTCCTGGAATCGTTCCAGGACGCTACGAGTAAACCTTTCGGTTATTTAATTGTGGATCTTAAAGCCGAAACGCCAGAAACATTTAGGTTGCGGAGCGGGCTGTTACCCGGACAAGAATCTGTGGTGTACGTACCTAAAACATAGATTTTTTTTAAAAATGACGTCAGCCCGTTTAAGAAAAGCTCTCCCTTTTCTAAGCGCTTGGATAAACGCCAAGAGAAACAATAAAGCCGACAAAAAAAATTTACCCAAATACGTGATTTTGGCCATATGCGAAATCGTTTTAAACGTTTTAAAAGGCAACGTCCCGCTGACTGACTCTCAGTATAAACAGTTTAAGAAAAGGCGACGCTGTTTAAGACATCTGGCTGACAAAAGTTATCCGTTTGGGCGCAAGCGTAAACTCATTCAGAAGGGGGGGTTTATCGGCCCGTTAATAGCCGCGGCCCTGCCTTTTGTGTTACAAATGCTAACCCCCAGGCAGCAATGAACCACGCGCGAAAACTGTACCTAGTCTCTGCCGACCAATTGCAAAAACTCACACCCTCCTCCTCCTCCTCTAAAGGAGACATTAGGGAAAACAGCGAGAATGAACTGG